GGCCCTCCTGTTGGTGCCACCCTAGTTCCTCTTCCCCATCTCGGTTTCAATATCCCCTCCTTCTCAAAACCTTCTGACTCTACCGAAAATGGGTCCCGCCCATTCCCTCGCGCAGGCTCCTCTTCCTCCCATCGTGCCACTCAAAACCGCTCACCAAAGTTTTCATGTGATTTGGTTTCTCTCTTTAGTTGTCTTCCCCGTTAGAACTCAAGGCCTGTGAGGGCAGAAGTTTGTCTGTCTGGGTCACTGACAAATCCCCAGGACCCAAAACACGCCAGGAATTAATAGGTGGGCCTATTTTTCTGTCTGCAAGACTGGGTTCCCCCCAGGCTGGGATCCTGTCTTTATTTCTGTATTCACAGTGTTTGCCTCCTGCCAGGCATACAGCTGGCGCTCAGCAAGCACCTGGTTGAAGGTATTGTTTGTAAAATGCAGTGGGCTTCCCACAGACTGGCTATTGTTATCTTCACTTTGAAGAAACTGGGACTGGCATTGCGGCGCAGCAGGTTAAGCCACCACTTGCCATACCAACATCCCCCCTCACAGTGCTGGTTCGAGTCCTGGCTGCTCCGCTTCCAATGCAGCACCTTGCTAATGTGCCTGAGAAGGCAGTGGATGATGGCCCAAGTTCTTAAGTCCCTGCCATCCTTGTGGGAGAACTGGATGGAATCTCCTGCTCCTGGCTTGGGCCTGACCCAGGCCTGGCTGTTGCAGTCATTAAGGGAGTGAACCAGCATAGGGAAGACTCGCTCTCGCTCTTGTTCTCGCTCTCTCCCTCTCTCCAGTGGCATGCCCTTCAAATAAATAAATCTCTTTTAAAAAGGAAATTAACAGGTGTTCAGGAACTATTTGCTAGATCATCATCATCAGAATCTGTGGCTTGCCTATAGAAAAGAGCTAGTGGTTTCCAAGCCCAAGCTGGGCACTCTTCTGTGTTTAAAGAAGCTCCAGTCCTCAGCTTCTGCTGCTCCGAGAGGTAAGACAGCACAGCAAGGGCAGGCCGCCGTCCCCTGAGGGAAGTCTGCTCAAAGGCGTGCACCCACAGATCACCCACTCCAGAGACCGCGGGCCACCCAGCAGCCCTGTCTGTGGCTTCCTTAGCAAACCCTGCTTCTCTGCAGAGAGGGGGATGACACAGGAGCGACACAGATCCGCTCTCCAGAACCTGCTGCCTGCTGGGCCCAGCTGGACGCCATCATGTTCATTGGATGATGCTACCTTGTCTATTAGCCCAGAACACGAGACTCAGCTTCACAGGAGTAAAATGGTTTGCCATGAGCGGCACAGCTGATAAATAGGAGAGTCACTTACCCCCTGTTTAGCATCCTTCTGTAGCTCCCTAGGACCTTGGAAATGAGCTCTGAAGTCCTCAGCAGAGTATCTCTGGTGCCCTAGGATGAGCAAGGCTCTTGGGAACATTGTCCTTCCCCGTGCAGAACTGGAGGCAATTCCTGGAGTAGATGCACTACTCTTTTTATTGCTTAAAGATTTTTATTTATTTATTCTAAGGTCAGAGTTACACATAGATAGGAAGAGACAGAAAGAGGTCTTCCATCCGCTGGTTCACCCCCCAAATGGCTGCAATGGCTGGAAGTGGGCCAGGCAACAGCCAGGAGTCAGGGGCGTCTTCTGGGTCTCCTATGTTGGTGCCCAGGCCCAAGGACTTGGGCCATCTTCTGCTGCTTTCCAGGCACATTAGCAGGGAGCTGGATGGGAAATGGAGAGGCCAGGACATGAACCGGCGCCCATATGGGATGTCGGCACCACAGACAGCAGCTTTACCACTACGCCACAGCGCTGTCCCAGATGGGCTACTCTCAAGTCCATGCTATGGCACAAGCTTTCCCTGCCCATTACTTGTCCTTTGCAAGCCACAGAAGCAAGCAAACAAACAAAAAAAGACATCCCCTTCTAAGGATCCAACGCCAAAACAAAAACAAAAACATGGGCAAAGATGCTTAGTCAAAAGTAGTCCTTATATATAATTTGTGCCAGTAAAAAATTACAATCTAAGCACTCAAATAATACAGGAAAGTGTTTAGAAATTATAGTATCTCCTGATGTAGGGTGCACATTTGGGTTCCTTCCTCTCCCCTCCTCTCCTTTCCTGAGCTGCCAGCAAAGCTTTGTGAGCACGTCTCTGGATGAGTGAGCCTCACCTGGAGCCAGGAGAACAGCTGGGACTACTCACTGGGCACTGTGATGGACGGACGCAGCTTCTACAACCATGACTCAGCTGTTGGCAGCATGGCAGATAGGATGCTGAGCAAGGCTGCACGGGTCTCTGTGTGGTGCTGGGTACAGCCTGCTACCCAGCAGGGAACAGAGAAACTGTGCACTTGCCAGCACGGTGAGCACCTTGCCCCGTGCTCAGCCTGTGAAGGGTTCTACACAAAGAGTGACACCAGGCTAAATACCATCAGTACACCAGTGTGGTTTCTTTTTCCTTCTGATGAATTTTTAAAAATATTTATTTATTTATTTATTTGACAGACAGAGAAGGAGCTCCAATCTGCTGGTTCATTCCCAAAATGCCCAGTTGCCAGGGCTGGGCCACCCCAAAGCCAGGAGCTATGAGCCCAATCCGGTGCCCCCCGTGGGTGGTGGGATCCCAGGTACTTGAGTCACCACTGCTGCCTTGCAGGGTGCACATTAGCAGGAAGCTGGAGTCAGGTGTTGAACCAGAGCACTCCACACAGGATATAGGCATCCCAACTGCAGGCCAAATGCCTGTCCAATATGTAATTTTATACACGAAAATTAATGCATTTGAAAGTGCTTCCAAAAATTACAGTACTCAAGAAATGCTATTCTGCTCATCAGGGTTATGTTGCAACAATGTAGCCCTCAAATTCCAGGGTTCCTTCTCGCCAAGTGGCTAGTCCAGAGAGAATCTTCTTACTCAGGACGTGGTTTTCCTCCACACCATGGGTCAGGGACCCAGGTTCCTTCCAGCTGTGTCTCGTCCATCCCTGGAGCCCGAGCCTTCACAAGGGGAGCAAAATATGGAAAGATAGCCCCTTGCTACCTTGGCCTACAAGTGACACACATTGACCAGTCACATGGTTCTAACCTGAGTGCAGCAGGGGCCAGGAATGTAACCCTAGCCAACTCCTGCTCTGTGGCGCAGCCACCAGCCCAACGGAGTTAGGGACCACTGGGTACCAGGGTTTGCTGGAGAAGTAGGAAAAACGCCCAGTGCCGCTTCATTAGTAGAACGATCTCTTCCAATGTCAGCATTTTGTACATTGACATGCACCTCTGACCTGGTGGCGAACCTGAATGCTGCTTCCTCCTCATTCCAGAAGCCACACTGAATCAGGCCTCCACCCCCACTCCTCTTTTTTTATGTTTCTTTTTGTTTTTTTGTTTTGTTTTGTTTTGACAGGCAGAGTGGACAGTGAGAGAGAGAGACAGAGAGAAAGGTCTTCCATTGCCGTTGGTTCACCCTCCAATGGCCACCGTGGCCGGCATGCTGCGGCCAGCGCGCCGCGCTGATCCGATGGCAGGAGCCAGGTACTTATCCTGGTCTCCCATGCGGGTGCAGGGCCCAAGGACTTGGGCCATCCTCCACTGCACTCCCTGGCCACAGCAGAGAGCTGGCCTGGAAGAGGGGCAACTGGGACAGAATCCGGCGCCCCGACTGGGACTAGAACCCCGTGTGCCGGCGCCGCAAGGCGGAGGATTAGCCCAGTGAGCCGCGGTGCCGGCCCCCACTCCTCTTGATGCGGGGGAACGAGGCAGGCAGTTAGACAGGTGAGCTGGAATTTCCACCAGCTCTGCGGAGTAACTTTATCCCCTCACCTGTCAATCTAATCCACCTGTCTTCCCAGGATGCACCTGTGTCTCATCTGGGACCAGGAAGAAGGAGGCACTATCGTAACCACATACAAGTTAAATTCCATGTGGAGGCACCATAAAAAAAAAAAAGAAAAAATCCCAGGAAGCTTCACAGATGCTGAGACTAAACCAGGCTTTTTATTCAAGTCAGGTACCACCTGCTGTGTCCAAAGACACTGATAAAGTGGGAGAGGCCCTCCTTTGCCCTCAGCGGTGCCTGGGGGTCCTTCTCCAGCTTCTCTCTCCTCATAGGCAGCTCTCTAGCCCACTCATGACAGGTGCTCTCTGCCTGGGAGCGTGAATCATGTTCACTCTCTTAGATAAATCCCATTCCCACTTGTGCACTCTGTGAGCCTCCGCTTTGAATCCTGTGTAAGAACCTGGGGCAAAGAGGAAGGAGCCCAGGCTCGGACCATTCGGATGGGATGGCCGTTCCGGCTCTGCGCGTTTCCCCTTCACGTCCGGCCATGACACCGTCTCACTAAGCCGCTCTGGCTCGGGCCCCAGCCCTTGGTGCAGTCAGCTCTCACGGGGGAAGCAGAGCTACTTCTACCGTATGCATGTGGTTAATAAGACACAGTCAGAACTGCCTGCGACCCCTCTTCCTGGAGAGAAGCTACAGGCATGGCAGGTACTTGGAGCTTTATGGACCTAACAGTGCAGACAGTCGTTAAGAAGCCATATGAGGGGGCCCGGCTTGTGGCATGGCAGGTGAAGCAGCCACCTGTAACATCTGCCAGCATCCCATATGGTTATCCAGCTCCCTGCTAATGGCCTGGGAATCCACGGGAGGATGGCCCAAGTGCTTGGGTCCCTGCACCCTTGTGGGAGACCTGGAAGAAGCTCCTGGCTCCTGCCCAGGCTGTTGCAGCCATTTGGAGAGTGAACGAGTGGATAGAAAACATCTTTCTCTCTCTCTCTCTCTAACTCTGACTTCCAAATAAATAAACGAAACCTTTAAAGCACAGGAAGCAGGGGCAGTGTCCATGCTGCTGAGCACCTCCCCACTGCGTCCTCCACGCTCGGTGTTTCCGAACTCAGCTCCCCTGTGCAGCTGCACCCGCCAGCGCCTCCAAGTCCGCACAGTCCTAGCAGCGAGCTGCAGAAGCGAGGCCTGAACAGTGACGTGAGTGGAAAAGGAAGAGTGGGTGAACGAATAGTTCATGCGTTTACAAATGATTTTATTTTCTTTCTGAAACTGCTACATTGTCCAAGCCTTCTACAATCAGATCATAAGAATTTATAGGTTGAAATGTCACAATAACTGTTAGTTTTTAAATTTCTAGCAAACGTTGCCTTTTCCAGAAATCATTCTGTGATCTGTCCAAAGGGACCTGGAAGCCCCTCCTCAACATTCTAGCACTGACAGGATCCTCCGCCACTCACTAATCACACGGGATTTTACCTGGGGCTCTTTGAAGGGAGAGACTGAATTTCTTTTTTCTTAAAGATTTATTTATTTACTTACTTTGAAAGGCAGAGTTAGAGAGACAGAGAGATCTTCCATCTGCTGGTTCACACTCCCAAATGGCTACAATGACTAGGACTGGCCAAAGCCAGGAGCCAGGAGCTTCTTCCAGGTCTCCCACATGGAGCACTTGAGCCATCTTCTGTTGCTTTCCCAGGTGCGTTGGCAGGGAGCTGTCTGGGAAGCGGGGCAGCTGGGACTCCAACCAGCGTCCTTATGAGACACGAGCACTGCAGGCCTTGGTTTAATCTGTGCTACAACACCAACCCCAGCACTGATTCTTTAACTGCTGAATCCCCATAGCCTGAAATAGACTGAGTATTCCTAAAGGTTTGTGGACCAAATGAAGAAACCAAATGAACAGGAGTATACAAACTTAGTCATTCTCATTCCAAATTCAGGGACTGGTGGCTGTGACCTGGGGCCTGGGGAGCAGCATTCGGGAGCATCTTGCCGAGCTGCCCATGAGGAGTCAGCACTAAGGTTGCCGGAACACAGGGGCAGTGAGGGCTCCAAACCAAGCTGGGTGTTTCTGACAGCAGCCAAGATGAGTCACGTGGCGTCGCTTGGAGGATTCCCCGACCTGGTTCATTCCTCTCAGATCACTCACTCCTCCCAGAACTTCCCCTGGGAACAAAGAAAAAACCCAGGATTTGGGACCAAGCTCTTTTCCACCAACAGCTGCCAGTAGTTAGCATGGAACCCTAAGGGATAATTAAAATAAATGGGGGTCACTGCTAGGAAACACTTAGGTTTTCTCTAAATTCTTTCTAGAAATTTCTCCTGAAGAACTTTCAGGCCCAAGCAAGCCCAGTCAAGCAGCAAAAAGGAGGCTTGGAAACTTAGGTGGCTGGCAATACCAACCACAACCGAAACCCCACTGTTCAACAAGCGAAGCCACACACCAGGAGGGGCGAGTGAATCCCGCCCTTGTTCAACAACAGGGATTGAACCGCCTCTGCAGCAGGCAAGCCAAACAGCAACCGCGGGCGGGCGGGCGCCGGAGACCCCAGGCCTGATCAGAACGGCCAGGGCCGAGTGCCATCAGCTACAGCACTGCCCGCGCTCCTGGCTACAGCAACATTCGGAAAGCAATTCCCAGACCCGAAGGTTCCCTCCGGTGCGGAGCCAGCGTGCCCCACCCGCAGAGGGACTGCAGGCTCTGACTTCCACTCACCGCCTTCTAAACTCAAACCCGAAAGGAAGGGCAGGGCCCAGGGCGGGGATGTCCTGAAACACTCCAGAGTAGGCGCATTCCTACTGCAAGGTTCACGCCAGGGCCCTCTCTCTCTGGGGGCAGGGAGGCCGCGGCGAGGCGCGCTGCAGACCGAGCAGAGGCGTGTGTGTGTGCCGCGGGTGTGAGTGTGCACCCTGCGGGTGTGTCGGGAGGTGGGACGGGGTGGGGGGGCAGGAAGAGGAGGAGGAGACACCGACCGCCAGCCCAGGCTCCTCCCGCTCGCGCGCGGGCCCCGCGCCTCCGCCCCCCCCCCGCCCCCCCCCGGCGCCCGGCCCACGTACAAAGGCGCCTAGCCCGCGGCTCCCCTCACCGCCCGCGACCCAGCTCGCCCAGCTTCCCCGCCGCGGCTCCCGGCCCAGGTGAGTCCCGCTCGGCGCCGCGCGCCCGCCCCTCCCGGGCCGTCGCCAGCCCGGATGTGGCCCCCAGGGGAGCCCCCCAAGTGGCGGCGCGGGGAGTCCGGGCACGATGGGGGGCCTGTGCTGGGGAGCGGCGGTGGGGATCCGCTTCTCCGCGCTCGGCTGCGCGCCACACCCAGGCGAGGGTGTGGGCGCGGGAGGAGGGGGTGCTTGCGCTTTACCGCGGGACCTCGGTGTTGGGGATCCCGGACCTCCGACCTCCTCCCTTGTGTGTCCCGCTCTCTGCTTCCACTTTTCCTGCTTTCCCACTAGTCTCCCGAGTTATCTCAACTCCGCTTCTCGCCCCTGTTCTGGCGGGCGAGTGTCGGTGTGGGTTTCGGCTGCGGGCTGAGCTCCGTCCCGCTGTTCGGGGCCTCCTCCCGGCGGGCTGGGCAGCTGGAGGATTCCCTTCCTGAGGGAAACCCTTCCCCGCCCCTCGCCTGCCCCTGTGCTGCGGCCGGCCTTCCTGTTTGCCAGCCCGACGGCAAGGGTCGTCCTGCGGAGAGAACAGGGATCTCTGCTTCCCTGATAAATCAGTGTTGCTGGGGGTTGGAACGGAGAGGCTGGGGCAGGCACGGGGCAGACTACATGGAGTTCCCTTCTTGCTATCTTCATTAGATAGGTGGGCCCAGAAAGAGACGGGAAGGAAGGGAGAGCAGGCTGTCCCACTCCCAGATTAATTTGGCCGCAGGTGGTGGACAGACAGACGTGCCGTTGGTACCTGGCTCAGAGCCACGGCGCTTCTTCCAGCTCCGAGCACTGCGGTAGCCAGCTCGGTCGCGCTCTGCCAAACGGAAACCAGAGACTCAGCCGAGCTGGGTGAAGGGTGGTGCGGCCCCAGCCTGGCTCCGCAGAACCCCAGACCGGCTCTGGAATACAGGAAACCCACCCACCCCTGTCCACTCCCCCCACCCCACCCCAGGGGAGCGGGAAGCGCTCTGCAGGGTGGGGACCGCGCAGCGGGCTCCAGGCTGGAGTCTCCTTGGGCACCGAGCCCCATTACTCAGCGGTGAGACCATGTGGGTGTGGCCCTGCCCTTGCGGATGCTGTCTGCGGATGGTTTGGGCAGAGCACTCCCTGAAGGAGAAGAGGGAACTGTGCCATCGTGGAGGGCATTTTCCAAAAGGAAGTGAGTCACTACTGGTCTGGGGGAGGGGATTCTTGACTAAACACACGGGAGGGCAGTAATTAGATGGGCAGGGCCACCTGCAGCCCGCTGCTGGGTCACCCGGCAGTGGTTGGCCCAGTGCCGCCAGGCGGCCCACCTCTGCTTTCCCTGGGTGGCAGCTACTCGCATTAAGAGGTTAGGAGTTGTCCCAGAATTTTTACCGTTGAAGCCTGAGTTTCAGCCTCCAGGAGTGGATTTTTCTATGCGGCAGGTCAGGTGAAGCCAGCTACATGCAAATACCGCGTGAGTGATCTTTGCCTTTGAATTGCAAAAAATAATGCCAGGGGTTGGGGCAGGCCTTGAGTTCCGCATCAGCCCTGCCCCCACAGGCTGCTATCTGGCATCTGTGTGAGTGGCGTGTGTGTTCCTGGCAGCCAGAGGGTAGTCTCTTCGTGGAGGTCCTCCATCCACCCGTGAGTGTCTCACTTCAGTGCCTCTGGAGTTCTTGGTCCACTAGGCATACAGCCCTTGTTGGATGCTCTCCTGTTTTCCCCTGCATCCATGAGAACCCCTGTTCCTCCCATGGCCAGCCTCTGACAGCCACCCTGGTGAGGTCAGGCCGTGGGCTGGGTGAAGCTGAGGCTGGGTGCTCGCCTCCTTCCCACTGACAGATCCAACAAATGCGACTTTTGTAGAGCACTGCCCGATTGCTATGTCCCTGGACACAGTCCCGTCTTTTAAAGCATACAGTTGAGGGAAACAATGGCATTCTTTCAGGGCTGTGATGTATGAAGTGTGCAAGGAAAGCTGGGCTCAAATTTTAGGATCTTTCTTAAATTTCTCGTTTTCCTGGAGACTCAACAATTTGGGAATATCACACCAAAAGCTAAAGGAAAGAATGTACTTATTTTAAACAATTTTTAGCATTTCCTATATCCCTTCGCTAAATAACTACCACCTACCTACCCACACACACACAAAGGATTTTTTAAGATTTATCTACTTATGTATTTGAAAGGCAGAATGACAGAGAGAGAGGGAGAGAACCAGAGAGAGAGTCCATCCACAGGTTCACTCCTCAAACACTTGTAATAGCCAGGGCTTAGCCAGGCTGAAGCCAGGAATTCCATCAGGGTTTCCCACATGGGTGGCACAGGCCCAAGCACCTCAGCCATCATCCACTGCCTGCCAAGCCCATTAGCAGGAAGCTAGATCAGAAGCAGAGTAGCCAGGACTCAGATATGGGATGTGGGTACCCCAAGCAATAGCCCACCCCTCACCAAAGGATGTAATAGCAATTGCACAACAGCTGTTGTGGGCTGATCGAGGCTGGTGCCTGGCAATTCTTCAAGGAAAAATGGATGTACTTGGTTAGAGGAGATTTCTCAGTTCTTTCCTCCGTGGACGTGCATCTGAAACTTTGCTTGGCTGCCCCGCTCTTCAGAGAGCAGGTTTCACAGAGTGAAAGGAGGCCGAGGCAGCTGGGGTCCAGATCCATCGCCTTCACTCATTTTTTTCCTGAATTCTCTTTAGGATTCAAATTCAACACTGCCTTCTGGGTTCAGCTGAATCCCCGAAGGGATGGGAAGGGAAGCGCACAGGCTCTGGGACAGCAGCGTTGCTGGGCTGACATCTTGCCAGCTGTATTCTGGGTGGGCTGTGAGAACACTGCCGTGTGGATGAGATGCAGAGGGCCAGGCCACTTGAGGCTCTTTAGAAGAGCCCTCTTGGAAGAGACGCCTGCATCCAGGCTGAGGGCCAGAGCGAACGTTTGGGATCACTCTGGAGCAGACACTTTGCTAAGGAGGCCTCCTGCCTCTCTGCTATGCCTAGGTGACCGAAATTGCATGATGCTCAGTTGCATTCTTGCTTATTGAGCAGGCTGTATGAGGGCTGGCCCTGGCAATTGAGGCCCCACCCAAGGAGCCCACAATGGAGTGAGGGGAAGACACAGAAACACAAATAACTAGAATTCAGGAGATATCTGTACATAGTATTCCTTTAGCTGGTGAACTCCTCAAAGGCTAGCAGAGGCGTTGGGTTCCCACTTGCTCACCACCATTCCCAAGGCTTGCAAAGTACGCTCTCAGTGTAGGAGAACCCAGAATGGAAAATTGAGTTCCTACCACAAGAAGTAAATTTAGGGAGTCCTGAATTGTTTTCTGTAGAGAAAATTACCCAGAGAGAGACTGGACTTGCCAGCGGCCCCTGTAAGACCTGTTTCCCAGGCAGACAAGGGCACTGACGCGCATACTGACATCAGAATGAAAATGAAGGAAGCCAGGGCGGACGCCACAGGCATCGCCTCCCCACCGCTGAGAGGGCAGCGCTAGCGAGAGAAGCCTGAAGTTGCAGAGGGGATGAATGAAAACCCGAGAACAGCAAGCCTGCGAGAAGGAGGGGAGCCTTGGCAGAGTCTGGCCGGACCTGTTTGGCAGGACACGAATTTTTTTTTCTTTGCGAAAGGAATGTGCTCTGCTCTGTATTCTGCTGTTCACAGGCAAGCCCATTTGGGGCCCTTTTGCTGGCCCCGCATTCCTGTCCTCCTGCTGAACTCTGATCTGCGAGGTTTTCCTCCAGGCCTTGGTGGTCACACCTGCCCTTCAGCCACCGCCAGGGGCATTGTTGGATTCATCCATTCGAGTAACAGTTATGTAGTGGTCGAAGACAGGCCAGCAGTTGAAGGCCCCTGAGTGGTTCAGGGACGGGCGCAGGTTGCTGGGGGCGCGGAGAGGACGCAGCCCCAGGACCCTCCCACCGAAGTGTGTCCAGCCAGGGGGAGCAGGAGCGGGAAATGGCAGCTTAGAGTTCCCCAGGAACTCCGGCTTCAGGAGCCAATCGTCAGTGCTTCAGTCCGCCCCGCCCTAGAAGGGAGAGCAAGCTCCGACCCGGAGAGTGGGCAAGCCCGGGCCCAGAAGGGCGACCGCTGCACCTGGAAAAGAACCACGTGACCCCGCCTCTAACCCAGAGCACAGGGTTGCAGTCGCAATGTTCCCCCTCCTCCTCTGTATTTAAAACCAGCGTGCAGAGTTCCTTGCTTATCGCGGTCATTGCCCTCGGGGAGGACGTCTCAGGTCTTTAAGACTGCCTTCACCTGCTGGCCAGCCCCGGCCCTGCTGTTCTCCCGCGCAGGAAATCAGCTGCCCCCACCACCCCACCTCCCACACCCAACCCCCCCCCCCCCCCCCGCCTTCCCTGGATAACGCAGTTGGGGCAAGCGGAGCACCAAGCACCGGAGGACTCAGAGGGGCGGGGTGCTGCTTTGGAGAGGAAAGAACGCCCCATCACTTCATGAGTGTGGGCAAAGCGTGGGGTGGGACTGGAGGGACCTGGGGCTTGAGTGCTCGCACGGGTAGGGCGAGCAACCTCACTGTCTTGCAGGACATTGTCCACAGCGGGCTGGGACAAACCTGGACAAGAGTACTGCAAAACGCTCATGGAAAATGAAATTAGAAGGCAGGTTTAGGGGCAGGTGTTTGGCCTGTGCGCCATATCAGAGTGCCTGGGGTGCATACCAGGCTCCAGCTCCTGATTCCAGCTTTCTGCCAACATAGACCCTGGGAAGCAGCTCAAGTACGTGGGTCCCTGCCACCCCCGTGGGACACCTGGATTGAATTCTCAGCTCCCAGCTTCAGGCTGGCCCAGCCAGCTGTTGCGGGCATTTTGAGGAGTGAACCAGCATATGAGAACTGTCCCAAAATGGTGCTCTCTCTCTCTCATGTGCACTCTCTCTCCCTCACGTAAATTTATTAAAATTTAAGAAGTAAAAGTTAATTCTGGTGCAAAATATTTTGAAATCTGTACATACGAGGAGTCTTGAGAAAACTCATGACAGGTGTATTATGCAGAACTGTGCATGGATTTCATCCCATTTCCTGTTGTAGGGGGTCCTCGTCCTGTTCCGTTCCCCATCTGGCTTCCCTGGCCCCACAGTGCACTTTCCTTCTGCTCTGTGCTGTAAAGAAAGTGAACGAGGTGTCCCCACCCAGGACCAGTTTGTGGCATCTCTGGGAATAGGTCATGAAGTGACCTGCTGCTCTGAGCTTGGGCACAGGTATTTTTAAACCTCTGTGGTGTCTGATTCTTTTCCAGAGTTATTTAAGAACTGGGGTGGGACCCCAGTCCTTCTCCCGTAAGCGTCTCTGTTCACTTCTCTTAAGTTGCCCGGCTTCAGAGCCAGTCCCAGCAAGGCAGACTCCGCGTAAGCCCATGGCCATCTGAAACCCATATGGGGAGCAGGGGATGAGCCAGGTCCAACAATGTAAGAGAGAGAAAAGGGTGCGGTTGCCCTAAAATTCATTTCGCAGCAGACCTTGGAGCGTCTGTTTGCAGTTCTCTCCAAGAGAACTGCCTTCCAGATGAATCATGACCGGTTCTGGTTCCTAGCAGCCTCTCGAGTAGCGTTCTTTGGCATGCTGGCTCCCAGACGCAGGGAGTAGAATTTACAGTTCTTAAGAGAGTTTGCTGAGTTCTCGTATTCACCAACCCCACCTTCTCCTCTGTAAAAGATAGCACTTAGGGCTCTGTGTCGAGCAGGTGACTGTCGGGAGCAGGACCCATACCAAGACATTTCTCAGCAGGGGCAGCTGCAAGCCTCTCCGTCAACTGTTCTCAAAACCTAGTCTTGTGGGGTGTGTGTGTGCGTGTGTGTGTATGTGTTATAATCCTCATTCAGGTTCACTTCTTTTCTATCTATCTTAGGTGAGAGCAGCCAAAGTGCTTTGCCCAAAGCATTCCTCCAATTAAACCAAAATTCAGTGAGTGCTTGTAAGTACCAGGTACTAGGTCTTAATGAGACGTTTGCCCCCAGCTCCTCATAGCTGAAACTGGTGATCTGGCATGTTTCCTTTCCTCTCTTATTAAACTCTTAGTGAGAGAAAGCTCTTGTTCTCCCACCACACCCCAGACTATGAAAGCAGATCTTCTGTGCACTGTTACCAAAAACACATCAGGCCACCAAAGGAGTCAGGATACACTGTAACCTGTCCCTTCTCAAGTGAACTAGATCCTGGACTTCCGGTTGTGCAACTGCATTTTCCTGCCTAGTTGCAGGTGTCTACTGCAATGAGCAAGTTCAGAACTTCAGAAAAGAAAACATACTTAGCAGAAAAACTCAGCAGATTTCTAAACCATAGAATCAAACTGAACCAATTTACCAAGTTAAGCCTGGAGGGTTGAAGTTTTCATATTAACCGTCTTGACTGCATGGCTTGTTGGTATTCAGCCATATCCAATAATCTCATTTATCAGCAACAAGGGAAATGATGAAATAGCTGTTCTTTCCGTAAGTGCTTTATCAGTTGAAAGAGAGACACTCATGTTGCTTTTCTAAATGATGAGCGTTTTTATCCTTGATTAGGCGACTCGTGCAGGCAAATCCCTCACTTGGAGCACCAGTGCTGAGGTGCCTACTTCCACCTGAGAGACTGCAAACCTGGGGTGAACCGTGCTGAGTGTCATGGAGGTTTTGTTTTTGTTTTTGTTTTTTGACAGGCAGAGTTAGTGAGAAATAAAGACAGTGAGAAAGGTCTTCATTCTGCTGGTTCACCCCCACAAGTGGCCGCTATGCCTATTCGAAGCCAGGAGCCAGGTGCTTATCCTGGTCTCCCATGTGGGTGCAGGGCCCAAGGACTTGGGCCATCCTCCACTGCACTCCCAGGCCACAGCAGAGAGCTGGACTGGAAGAGGAGCAACCAGGACAGAATCCGGCACCCCAACCGGGACTAGAACCCAGGGTGCCAGCGCCGCAGGCGGAGGATTAGCCTAGTGAGCCATGGCGCCGGCTGTGCGCCATTGAGTTTTACAGCCAGCAAGGAGCAAGCGGGTGATCTAATCCCCCTCCCTCCAGTTATCCTGCACAGACTGGCAGTACCTGTGGCTTGAGTGCGGATGTAAATCCTTTAACTTCACACCCTTACCAGGTTCCAACAGACCTCGCCAAGATGCCATCTCAGATGGAGCATGCCATGGAAACCATGATGTTTACATTTCACAAATTTGCTGGGGATAAAGGCTACTTAACGAAGGAAGACCTGCGCGTCCTCATGGAAAAGGAGTTCCCTGGATTTTTGGAAGTAAGTCTGGAAAGGTGCAGAGAGAAGCAGCCATAAAAACCAGCGCGTCCAGAGCTGGTTCCGTTTCCCCCCTCTCTCCGTCCCTTCCCTGTCAAAGTCACTCCTGGAAAGGTGTTTGCATTCAGCTGGTTACTGAACAGCATCCAGTGCCCACAGTGTGTCAGGTACTCAAGGGGAAGCAGAAAGTGAAGAAGTCTCAGCCCCTTCCTGTGAGGAGCTTGCCGTCGGCAGGTGGAGGAAGGCCACACACAAAGGACCCCGGGTTCCATCTGGAGTGATCTGCATCCCTGAGTCCACGTGGGGGACAGAGCCGGGGCAGGCAGGTGTTCACCAGAGTGGTCAACCAGGAGTGGCCACTCTCAGGTCTAGAAACCTGGCCTTGGAGGTACCACACACCGATCACATTGCATTTTGAGCAATTTGAATCCCCCTTAGAAAATCCCTTCACACCAAAGGATTTTCTTCTTCCCATAAAGGAATGATGTCAGATCACGCGCTGAATAAGAGCCGCACACATGTCACTCCAGAAATAACTGCTTTTCACATTGAAAATACTGGAGCGCACAGAAGCACGGGTGGAGTTCATGCCACACCTTTGACAGACTGAGGGACCCCTGGAGAACACTGCCCGCAGTGCAGACGTGTCACCTGCAGATGCATGAGGCACAGTTGTCCTTTGAGGTTGTAGGCCCTCGACAGCTGGTTGTTGACATCAGTTCAGCCAGGGCGAAGCATTGCTGGACAAAGTAGGAGATTGAAATGCAAGCCCTGCCTTCTCTGCTACAATCACAGTCACTTAGAGGGCTGTGGCAGTGCTGGGAGTTGAATAATGCATGAGCCCGTGAGGGTGAGGGGCAGTACACTAAAAGACAGGGTCACGCTCAAAGACAGGGTCGTGTGCCTGGTAAATATCGCATCAGCCAAGCCCTTGACTCCTGTGTCAGCACACGGAGGTGGGGGTTGTAGTACCCCAACTGCAACTTCCCTATCATCAATGTCCGTTAACTAAGCAGCTGTCAACAGCCTAACCTGGTCTCAGCTGCAGTTACCATGGTGCTATCCCAGAATGAGCTGGACCAGGCCAGGAGTCAGAGGGGCTTGTCTGCCCGGACTCGCGTGGGCGGCTTGCTTTAGCTCTCTGGAGCTCAGTGCCCCGCTCTGTCAAACGAGAGGGCTGGACGGACGTGATAGTCCACGAGGCTGCCTTTACTTCCTGTGACCCCCTCCAGGCAAGCAGAAAATGCAAGGACAAACCGTGCTCCTTGTAAGACTGCCTGTCACACAAAGGCATTCGGGGTGTACCGCACACTCGTCAAGCGTATTGTTGCAGAAATTAGAAGCCAGGATGAATGCCCCATCGCAACAGTCCCCTCCTTCTTCATGGGCTTTGTGGCCTGAAAAACAGAGATATATGTAGCACGGAGCCCTGGGCGTGGCGGGGTGCTTTATTCCTGGCACAGGGTCATAACTGCAGGCACATCTTTGTTTCCAAAGTCGATCTCTCGCTCATTCTGACCACAGCCAGGAAGCCGGGGGCGAGGCCAGAATTAGCTCACACACACACACATACACCCCACCGCCAGAGCAGCCCGCAGGGGCTTTCGTTGACTGGGTGGCGTGGGAGTTTGTCCTTGTGCAGGAAACGCTGCTGCCCTCCAGGAAGGGATTCCGAGTGTGACTTAGAAATGTCCAGCACCCTTGAAACCCTGAGTGTCACTTCCCTCACTCGCCTTGGAGGGAACTTCAAAAACCTCGTGGATAATGGAATTAACTCACGGTGCAAAAAGTTCTGAAAACCATGCATAGTCGTTTTCTTACTTTGTATTTTCTGTGAACTTTTTGAAGTGCCCTCGTGCATAGTCGCTGGAACGCATTCAGTACTTCCCCTGAGCCCTTTAACAACCCCTGACAGGCCTGCTTCCCTCTCAGGGTCACGGCCTGGACCCTGTAGGACCAACTGCGTCCCCTATCTAACGAGTATCCTGGCAGAAAGGAGTGATCCAGCCAATGCCCACGAAGCACGGTGAAAGCAGAGGAGGTGCCACCGGCTCGTCTCTGCCCCTCACATCCACACCAGGCATTGGGAGTCACGGGGAGTTTCCAACTCCACCACACACGTTCCTTTCGAAGCTGGCCCAGTGTACAACATCAGGCAGAGAGGGTAGGATGGCAGGGCCTTCACCACCTCAAAGGTTGGGGAGGGTCCTAGCAAGACTCCATCCCACCTCAACTCCTAGTGATGCCCAAAGACCCATTAAGCAGTGTGATGCTGGCTTGGTCTCACTGGCTTGGCATCAGCTGTACTAAAAAGAAACTAGAGCTGTCTGTCTAACTTCACCCAAACTACAATGCCCCGTGGCTTCATGTGCTCCTTCTCAAAGTCCATGGGACAATGATCTGAAACGCACTCCTTAACTGAGCCTGTGAGATCTGTGAGCATTCCTTTGTGAAGGCTGACCATGCCATCAGGAATACAGGTTTATTAAGAGAATCTAAGTTTAAACATAAAATGAGGGGTTTAGGTGGTTGTTAGACTCTAATTACGAATTTATTAAAATGCTCTCCCGAAGCCAAAAAATAAAAATTAAAAAAATGTGTTTACACAACCTCCAGAGGTTGCTTAGCACCTGCTGAGGCGGAGGCAGGGAATGTCCAGCCCGCAGGGCATATAAGGCCCACAAAATCGTTTGTCCTGGCTTTGCCAAGGCAACCTCAGGCGGAACTAGAAATTGAATAAATCTATAGCAGCCTAATTAAGGCCATAATCTTGTACAGCTCATGAATAATGGTGTAAATATCCAAATGGCCCTTGACAGAATAAAGGTTCCCCACCCCTGACTAAGACAAGAGCCCAAATAACAGAGATTGTCTGTGTGGTAGTCAGCAGTGCAAATCAAGTGAGCTCCTTGCTGCAACCATCAACTGATATTTCTTGCCTTTTTTTTTCTTTTTCTTTTTTCTTTTCTCAGAATCAAAAAGACCCCCTGGCTGTGGACAAAATAATGAAGGACCTAGACCAGTGCCGAGACGGCAAAGTGGGGTTCCAGAGCTTCTTCTCCCTCATTGCCGGCCTCACCATTGCATGCAATGACTATTTTGTAGTGCACATGAAGCAGAAGGGAAAGAAGTAGGCAGCCTGGAGCGACGCCCCCTGCCCCGACTACAGTCCTCCCAGAGGGTCCCTTGAAGAGCCTGCCCCACAGCGACCCCTCCTACAAGGATTCCGTGAGCAGAGCGGGACCCTTAGAAAATGCCCAAGTGCAAACCAACTCCCGTTTGACAGAGAAAGAAAAGTTGATCAAATGCCAGATAAGCTTCTGAGTTTTGTATTGTTTGCATCCTCCTCTTGCCCTCGATAAATAAAGTTCTTTTTTTTTAGTGCTACACTTGGGACAGAATATCTTTTGCTTCTTCAGAAATGCTTGTTCTTGCTTCTTGGGCCCTTGGGCAGCCAACACACAGCCACACGCGATCTTGCCACAGAAGTGGTAACATGGAAGGATTAGGAGGAGGCTCTGTGAGAATATAGTTTGCTTTCATAATGCCCAGGGTCGGTCTGACCCAGTGAGCTTTTCCAGCCCGAGGCGTGTGATCCCATTTTTCAGGGCAGAGTTTCTCCAAAGCTCAGTCCAGAAGAGAACCGGTCCAAGGTAACCGCATCACCAACAACTCTGGATGTCGGGAAATGTGCTGGGCATGACTTACATTTGGAGGAGTAGTCTTTTTGTTGCATATGAAGTGCTGGTGCTGGAGCCTTCATGAGATAAATATTCTCTGTGCTTTTCTACCCCTGTTGCAAGCTTTAGCATACATGCGTTACATGCTGATTGCTCATGGATTTCCATGTTTTTGCGCTAAAATAAACATACCTTTTAACTCCATTTTCCATGAGCTTTTTAAAGTACCCTCTTGCAAATTCTGTGAATTGGCACATGAAATCATTCCAGTTAAAAAGGTCAACGAAGATGGAAACTTCATGTTTGCGCACATCAGTGTAACCGGGGAAGTTTTCCATATAACTCTGGGGAAAGTGCACTGTGAGGTCATTTACTGTTGAAAGTGTGCAAGACAGAAAAGGATACTTCAAAACGCCTTGGGGGAGGGCCAGGTGTTTTGTGTGGTGGTTAAGAAGCCATGTGGAACACCTGCATCTCACTGAAGTGCCTGGGTTCAAGTCCCAGCTCTGCTCCCAGTGCCAGCTTCCTGCTAGCTTGTACCCTGGAAGGCAGCAGGTGGTGGCTCCAGGACTTGGGTTCCTGCCACTCAGCAAGTGAACTGATTCGAGTTCCTAGTTGCCGGCATTTGGGGAATGAACCAACAGATGTGAGCGTGCTCTCTCTCTTTCTCTCTCTCTCCCTCTGCCTCTCAAATAAATTTTAAAAACTTAAAAATAAAAAAGCGCTTTGGGGAAAAGAACTCTGTGATAGCGAAGTCAAGGATGAAATTCTGACCTTTGTATTTTGTCATAGTCAGCAAATGGACGAGGCAAGATAAATCCCATCAGAGGTTAATAGCAATCTTACAAATGGATTTATAACATGAATATTTAATGAAGGAGGGGAGTTGACTTCACTAAAGACTGACAGTTCATGCTATAGAGATGGGCTGTCAGGGGAACAGCTGGTTCAGAAAGCTGCCTGCTGACCTGGGAGCTCATTGCCACTGCCAGCAGTTCCATAACCATACAACCCATGATGCTATCTACACGAGCAAGTCAGATGCCCGTGGCCTGCCTCTTCCCTCATGGCTTGGTCTCTGCATCCAGCTTTCAAGGAAGAGCATCTGGTAACACCTGGATGACATCAAAACCTGAGCTGCCAGGGAGCCTAGGGAATAAAATGTTGCATTTTCCGGGGTCAGCACTGTGGCATAGCAGGTAAAGCTGCCGCCTGCAGTGCTGGCATCCCATATGGGTGCCGGTTCAAGTCCCGGCTGCTCCACTTCCAGCTCTCTGCTATGGCCTGCGAAAGCAATAGAAGATGGCCCAATGGGAGACCCGGAAGAAGCTCCTGACTCCTGGCTTCAGATCGGCACAGCTCCAGCCATTGTGGCTGATTGGAGGGTGAACCAGTGGATGGAAGATTTCTCTCTCTCTGCCTCTCCTTCTCTCTGTGTGTGTCTCTGACTTTCAAATAAATTAAAAAAAATTTTTTTAAGTTGCATTTTCCAACCTCTGCACACTAGGAGCTGAGGTGCTGAGCCTCAGCATCAGGGACAATTCTTAATCCTAAGAGAAGTCTGCCAACCTATGGGTTGAAGAAACCATGGCTCTGAGGAGAGGAGATACTACAAGATGACCCCTTTGACAGCACGGAGAACAGAAGCAAAGTGGCCCTTCCCAGTGAGGTGCACTGTGTCTTCTTCGGGGCGAGAGCAGGGTCAGTACAGATCTACCCCTTTGGCTTCCTTGCCCCATAGGACCGCTGATTGCTGGTCAGTTCACAGATGGGCAGGTAAAATTGTGACACAGCAAACTTCCATAGTCTAAACCTCTCGACCTGAAGTCAGAACCCTGCCAGGTGGAGGAGGGCTCCGGGGAGAGGGGAGAGGAAGTATCAACTCCTCTCCACAGGGGTGGTGTAGATTTGGAAGAGTTCTGAGGCAATGTGTTGCTCCCAGAAGGTTGCCCCCAGAATCTCTGGCATTCAGAAGGGTGCCCACTGCCAGTGAATCCCCCCCGGAGCCGCTGTGTTCAGGAAGAGTGCCTGTGTATGGTGCATGGTGCCAGGGAGACTCCCCCCGAGCCGCTGTGTTTAGGATGGTGCCTGTGTATGGTGCATAGTGCCAGGGAGTCCCCCCTTACCCCGAGCCGCTGTGTTTAGGATGGGTGCCTGTGTATGGTGCATAGTGCCAGGGAGTCCCCCCTTACCCCGAGCCGCTGTGTTTAGGATGGTGCCTGTGTATGGTGCATAGTGCCAGGGAGTCCCCCCCGCCAAGCCGCTGTGTTTAGGATGGGTGCCTGTGTATGGTGGGTGCATGGTGCCAGGGAGTCCCCCCACCCCGAGCCACTGTGTTTAGGATGGGTGCCTGTGTACAGTGGGTGCATGGTGCCAGGGAGTCCCCCCACCCCGAGCCGCTGTGTTTAGGGTGGGTGCCTGTGTACAGTGGGTGCATGGTGCCAGGGAGTCCCCCCACCCCGAGCCGCTGTGTTTAGGATGGGTGCCTGTGTATGGTGCATGGTGCTAGGGAGTCCCCCCCCCCCCCCCCCAGCCACTGTGTTTAGGATGGTGCCTGTGTACGTGCACCCGGGGAGGGGAGCGTGACACCTCTCTCACTTCAGTTCCGTTGCTCACAGCATTTAGTATGGAGCTCGCACAAGAAAAATAAAGAAGGTATTTGTGGCCTGAACTCCTACATGGCTCTCTGTGCCAACGAAAACACAGGGATCCCACAATCCAACTTGCTGAAACAGCCGTCTAGTCTTCGGGGCCACAGCCTAATGGCTCCCAGAAGGCAAAGCTGCAATTATGCCAATAGCTATCAAGAGGAACCATCTGGAAAATTCCACTCATTCTGCTACATGGCTGAGTTGTAAAAGGAGACCCCGCCCCTCTCCACACCCAGTCATGAAGGCAAAAAGGACAGCAGCGTGGAAGTCAGTTTCAAACACACTGCAGAGCTAACCCTGAAAATCAGCTCATTTTCTCTCTCTCAGACCCATTCCTTCATCCAAGTCCCCGAACATCAGCCAGCTATTGTGATTTAACACTTTCCTACCCAACCCATCTCCCTGGGAGACCGAATACAAGCCTGAAAACCCTTCTCTTAATTTGAAAGTGATTGTTCAAGTACCTTCAGCAGCTCTTATCTCCAGAGGGATAGTGGGAATAGAAATCCATTCATTTGGCAAAGATGAGCAGGGCTGTTGTGCAGGTGGACACCAAGGCTGGGGGAATTTTTGTCTCTGAAGAAATGTTTCTGGAATTATTTTCATTTTCTTTAATATATTGCTGGGTTCTCAAAATTTTCTATAATAGTTCAACTTTTACAATCTAGAAAGCAAACCTCTAAATAATATTTTTTGTAGAGGCATATGTATTTATTGAGGGTCTACCATGAGTCCGGACCTGTGTGAGACACTTCTTAAACATGACCGTATTTGTTCCTCTCCATAACCCTGTTGAGGTACTGCACTATCCTTTTTATAGATGACAGCATTAAGACTTAAGTTCCTCAAAGTCCTCTGGTACTTACTGTGACAAGATTTGAACCCAGATGCCCTGTTTCTTTCCTTATGTTCTGTAGCTGTCTCGAGAGTAAGGAATGATCACGAATGGAGTGAGACTAGTCAAGAAGATTTTATGTAAGACTTAAGATGCTATCTGGGGCCCAGTGCTATGGCATAACGGGTAAAGCCCTCGCCTGCAGTGCTGGCATCCCATATGGGCACTGGTTCGAGTCCCGGCTGCTCCACTTCCATTCCAGCTCTCTGCTATGGCCTCGGAGAGCAATGGAAGATGGCCCAAGTTCTTGTGTGGACGACCCAGAAGAAGCTCTTGGCTCCTGGCTTCGGATCAGCGCAGCTCCGGAGGTTGCGGCCAACTGGGGAGTGAACCAGTGGACAGAAGACCCCTCTCTCTCCGCTTCTTTTCTCTCTGTGTAGCTCTGACTTTCAAATAAATAAATAAATCTTTAGGGAAAAAAGATGCTATCTGGTCCTCGGAAATGGTAAGAAATTTGGCCAACAGCTAATACTCACTGCGTTCTTAGTACATTCCAGTTCCATTCTAGTGCTTTACAAGTTAGAACTCCTTGCTTCTTCCATCCACCAAGAAGTAGGGAGTAGTATTTTACAGGTGATTGGACCAAGACACAGAGCAAATAAGCAGTAGGGACAGGATGTGAATCCAGCCACTCCTCTCTGCCATTTTCCCCAAAATCACGTTGGCGCGAAAGAAGGCCCAGGACACAGCACCCAGACACTTTGTGGCATCCTGCATGGCTGAGCCGGAGGCGTTCACAGAGGACGCCACATGCAGGAGGCGGAGGAGAGGAGAGGGGGCCAGAGGAGTGACCAACAGCAAAGCGGAGAGCGCGTGTGAAGTGTGGTGAGTGCGGCTGCTCAATTACAAACCCGACACACCCGGGGCTTGGGGCCGTGCTCTCCTTCATGAGAGAGAGATGAGTCT